TTTTTTTTTTTTTTTGTGATTATAGGAGAAATAAAAAGAATGAATTAGATGAAAAAAAAAAAAATAAGTTAATTAATATTATAAATACTTTAAATAAAAAAAGGTATATTTACATATATATATTTACATATATATATATATATATTTCTTTAATTAAATATTTAAGCAAAATATATGTTCATTTTTAAATGTATAAAATTATTAACTACACATTTTAATAAATTCGTATTTATGTGAATTTGAAATATATATATACTTTTAATAGAGTAAGTATATGTCGTGCTATGATATTTTGTACAAGACATAGTGATTTCAGTTTAGATATTATTAAAACAATTTCCAATTTTTTAATTGATTTAAAATATGATTTATTAAAAAAGGTATAGATAAAAAAATATATATAAAAAAATAATTTTTTTTTTTTTTTTTTTTTTTAATTTTTTATATAAATAATATTGTATTATTATTTATAGATAAATTTAGTTTATTTATTATCTGATATATTGTACAACTGTAGCAATGAGTTTTTTTCATCATGGTCATTTAGGAAGCACATAGAAGAGGAATTACCAAGAATATTTTATTATTTTAGAAAAAATATAAAAAAATGTGATAGTAAAATAAAAGTAAAAATATTTACTGATTCTATGATGAATATATTTCATATGTGGGAAATATGGGCTATTTATAATTCTTTTTTTATGAATGGATTAAAATGTTTGTTATCGTATAAAAAAATTACTTACATAAAAAATGAAATACATGAATCTGGATGTGATGAAGAGTTAGATGGTATTAAAATAGATTTTTTTGATGAAATAAAAAAATATCCCTTAAATTTAAGAAGATATGCTTATTCATATTTTCAAAAAGATGATTATCAATTAAATAAATTATGTGAACAAAGAGGTTTGTACTTTAATGAAAATTTTAACAAAAATAAAAAAATAAAATATTTATTAATATATGATAACTTCTGTAATAAAATTAACACAGATATACCTAAAAATAACTTAAATTATTTACAAGATGATATTAAAAATCCTGTTTTAAATCAAGAACTAAACGATAATATATATAATGAGGAAAAAAATAGTAAAACTTTTGAAAAATAAAACCGTATTAAGTTAATAACTTAAAAATAACTACTTATACAGAATAACAAAATTTTTAAATAGTCCTTTTTTTTTTTTTTTTATTCCCTTTTAAGATATATATGCTTATGTTTTATGTATATAAATTATTTAATATAAACATATGTACATTTTTTTAGAATTTTTCTTTTTTTATTACTTTCATAAATGTTTTATTTTTACAAAATTTAATCTTTCTTTTTCCTTTTTTTTAAATATTACATTAATATTTCTTTATTCAAATAATGATTATTAGAATTTTTAATTCTTATTTAATTTTAATATTTGACTTTTTAATTTATAAACAATCCATAATGCATATAAATATATATTCCTTTTTTGCTCTATATTTAATAATTTAATTATTTGACTAAAGATTTAAAAAATTATTAAAAAGGTTATTAATTTGAAGTTTTACTATAAAAAAAAAAAAATATAAGTTATAAATAAGTTATATATTTATTCATATATTTTCATTAAAGATATAATTTTTCAAATTAATATAAACTTTTATCTTAAAAATTATAATATTTAATTTTTGAATAATACTTTTTTTTTAACACTATTTCCTTTTAAAACAACAATATAGACTATTTTTTTTTTTTTAACTATTTTAAATTAAAAGAAAAAAAAAAAAAAAATTCAACATGAAAATGGAGATATTTTGTATTTTTTAATAATTTTTGTAAAAATACTTCGATTTATAATATAATTATTTAAAAAGTGAAGTAAATATAAATTAAATTGAAAAATTTACATTTATGTAATCCCTATTTTAAACTCTATAAATGTAATAATTTGTATAAGTTGTATTTTTACATTATTAAGAAGCAAAAAAATACAATTCAAAATTTATATAATTAACTATACAATTTTATTATTTTTTCATTTATATATATATATTTCTCTTTATTTAAATTAAATAATTGTATATTTTTATTTAAAAAGTATTTTTATAAAGATTTGGTGAATAAATGTATATAATTTTACCACTTCCATCACTAGTGCTTTAACGATATTGTAACTTTTAAATATTGAATAAAAAAAAAAAGGAAATTATATATATATATATATATGAATGTATATATTAAATAACTAAAAAAAAAAAAAAAAAAAAAAAAATAAAATGAAAAATGTTTGAATAAAATATTTTCTAAAATAATTATATTTCATTTTATATATATATATATATATATATATAAATATATATATTTTTTAAAATTTTTTTTTGAAAATTTTATGGTAAATATATTAAAATTTAAAAAATTAAGTTTTCCTTTTTAAAAAATAACAATGAAAATTTTAATTAATATTCCTTATGATGACTCATTATGTATTGAGTCATCTAATATTAGTACTATAAAGAATGTTAAAGAACAAATTTCAGAATTAAAAGGTTATCTTAAAATTTTTATTCATTAAAAATTTATATTTATTGTAAATGTTTTTTTGATTTATTTTTTTATGTATATTTTTTCCTTAAATTATTTCTTATTATTTAATTTTCGAATGTATAATTTTTCAAAAAAATATATATATGTTGAATATTTGTTATTATTTATAAAATTATCATTATTACATTTCAATTTTTTAATATATTTTTTATTTATTTAATTAAAATTATAGGTATTCCTTTTGAGGTTCAAAAATTATATAAAAACGGACGTCAAATTGGAGATGAAGAACTAATTGAAATAGATGAATCTGAATTTGTAAGATAAAAGAATAAAAATAAGATAATAGAAAAAAAAAAGAAAAAAAATAAGAAAAAAAGGATGAGTAACATAACAAAATAAATCTTTATATTTATAACCTTATGCATATAATTAAATTTTTTTTATTTTTTATGATGATTAAAAAAAAATGTAAGTAGGGACATGAGAAACTTAAATATGTTCACTTTTATTTTGTCTGAAAAAATAAAAAAAATATATATTACATTTATATTTATGAATATCTATATGTTCATATTTATTTGTATAATACCTCTTATATTTATTTTTTAAATATTAATAAATATAGAAGTTTTGTTTTTGTTTTTTATGATGATTAAAAAAAAAATGTAAGTAGGGACATGAGAATATAAATATGTTCACTTTTATTTTGTCTGAAAAAATAAAAACATAAATTGAAATAAAAAATATATGTATTTTGTTTTTTTTTTATTTATATGTTATGTTTTAAAAAACCATCCTTTTTTTTTTTTTTATTTTTATTTTTTTTTTTTCTAAATGATGTTAAAAAAAAAAAAAAATAATAAATAAATGAAATAATAAAATGGAATAATTTCAAATTAAAATTTTTGGTTTTCTTATGTAGTAATTTAATATTGATAATTTTATTTTTCTTATTAGGCATACACTTTAGATTTAAATTTTGGTTTACTTGGTGGTGGAAAAAAAAAAAAGAAAAAAGTTTATAAGAAACCAAAAAAAGAAAAACATAAAAAAAAAAAAGTAAAATTAGCAGTTTTAAAGTTTTATAAAGTAGGAGATGATGGTAAAGTTTTCAGATTAAAAAGACAATGTGATAATTGTGCACCAGGAACATTAATGGCTTCTCATTTTAATAGAGATTACTGTGGTAGATGTAATCTTACAATTATGAAAAAATAAACTTTTTACCTTACATAAATAATTTATATATATATATATATATATATTTTTTTTTTTTTTTTCTCTATTATAAGAAATTAAAATTCTAAATTAATAATATTATAATTTATATATTTAAAAAATTTTGATTCATTTTATTTTTATACTGATTTATGAATGTGAATTATATAAAAACAAATTAAGATAAAAAAAAAAAATAAGAATATAAATATTAAAGGAACATTTTAGTTATATACAAATGTTATAAAAAAAAAATAATCAGGAAAAAAACTTTTTAATAATGTAAAATATTTAATTATATTTGTATAAGTGAATTTTCATATTAAAATTCTTTCTTTTTTTTTATTAAATAAAAAAAAAAAAAAAAAAAAATATATATATATATATATTTGAAAAAAATGTAGTTCAAAGTTTTTTATATTTTAATTCTTCATTGTAATATTTTAATTTTTAATAAAAAAAAAATTTATAGTTAAAATATACCATAAAAATGAAGGAATATATTTATTGATAAGAAATTATTTATATTATTATAAAAAATATAAAAAATATAAGAAAACAAGTTTTATATAATAAATCATTACACGGAGAAAATCTTATGCTAAAAAAAAAAAAATTTATAATTTTTTTTTTTTTTTTTTCAGTTAAACTGATTTTACTAAAATATACAGAAATAACTCTTAAGAATATAAATATAATAATTTATAAATTTTTAAAAAAATATATTAATTTGCAAAATTTTCTTTTTTTTTTATAAGAAAAAAATAATATGAAATAAAAAATTTAATGAAGTAAAATTATAATGAAAACTTAATTTAAAAACAAGAAAATAGTAAAAGTTAAATTTATGTAGAAAACAAATGAAAAGGAATAAAATTTAGGAAAGTAAATATACATTTAAAAATATTACATAAAAAAAAAAATATCGAATAAATTTTTAAAAAAAAAAAAGAAAAAAAAAAAAAAAAATGAATTTTTATTTTACATAAATGACAGATTATTGGATAAGCTCAAAAAAACATTACTGTGAAACTTGTAATTGCTGGATATCTGGACATAAAGTAAATATAAAAAATCATGAAAAAAGTTTTAGACATTTAGAAAATTTTAAAAGATTAATTAATGAATCATTTAAAAGAAAAGAAAAAGAAACTAAAGAGAAAAAATTCATTGAAGAAGAGTTAAGAAAACTAGATAATGTTGAAAAAAATTATCTTTCAGTTTTAAAAAAAAATGATAAATTAACTCAATTAGATAATTCCATTGATTTAAATACAGTTAACTCTAGTAATAAAGATTATCAAAAATGGATATTAATGATACATGAAGATACAGGTTCTTTAGTTTTTTTTGATAAAATAAACAATCAATTAACTTATGAAAAGCCAAAAGATTTTTTTGAGAAATTACCTGACTATCAAACATTTTCTGAGCAGAATGGATGGTTTAAATATTTTGATTATAATTTTAATAATTTCTATTATTATAATATTAATAATTCTGAAGTTATATGGCAATATTCTGTGAGCACCATAAATAACTTCATTAACCTTATAAAAAAATATGAATGTTATGATAGAGATAAAAAATTAAATAACACTAGAGAAAATATAAAACAAAATATTACATCTGATTATTTATGTAATCAAATAAATTTAAATAACAACAGTTATTATAATCCTTATCCTGTAAATTTTAATCAAAACAGTCATTTCATTTATAATAATTTCAATTTATTAAACATACAAGAAAAAATTAATTCACAAAAAAATGATAATATAGAAATGACAGAAAATAAAAAAGAAAAGGAAAAAATACATATGATTATAAATTCCTATAATAACAGTAATAATAACGATTTGAAAAATTTAGATAATACTTCTAATAATAATGATATTAATAATTCTAGAAGAAGAAACAATGATTTTTTATCTAACTCTTTTGATAAGACTGATGAGAATATTAGCAAAATGAAAAATAAAATAGATGAAAAAATTGAAAAGAGTAAAACGGAGATAGAAAATGAGAAATGTTATAATTTGAACCAAATAAGTATAACAAACAAAAAAAATAAAATGGATGACAAAATGTTAATTGATGAAAAACAAATAGAAAGTAATGCAGATGTAGAAAAGAAAAAAAAAATGATTGAAATTAATTTTTCTTCCAAAAAAAAAAATAACATATTTTCAAGCACATATGATAAAAAGGAAAAAATAGAAGATAAAAAAAAAAATGAAAAAATTACAGATTTTGAAAATCAACATGGAAAAAGTGATAAATGTAAAAAAAATGAATGTGATGAAACTTCAAAACCAGGTGAATGGCAAAAAGTTCAAAGTAATGAGATAAATACAATTTCGAATGAATGTATTGAGGATATTTTTTATAATATAAAATCCACTGAAGAAATAGAAGAAGAAAATATTGCACATCTTCAAGAAAATATTCGTTATGAATATTCTACATGTAATGAATTTTATGTTAAAAAAAAAGAATTAGAAAATGAAGATTTATATTTAAATCAAGAATTTAGATTTATTAATAAGCCAATATATAAAAAAAATATTAATAAAAATCCTAATAAAAAAGTAGAATTTGCTAAAAGAAATATTAAAATAACAAAAAATAAAAAAGGAATTTTAAAATAAATTTTTAAGTATTCAAGAATATAATTTATTTTTGCATTATTTAAAATTTTCCGTAAACATATATATATATATCTATTGTTGTATTTTTATTTAATTAAAGACATCTATTATATTCAGGTTTTACATTTAAAATTATTTTTATGTTTCACGTTTAACAAAGTTAAAAATAAGTTTTCATATATAGCCTCAATTTTTTTTTTTAAATACAACTATCATATGATTCTTTATTTAAAAATTATTATTTTTTTTTTTTTTTTTGTATTCCATATATATATATATATATATATATATATATATTGATTTTAATTTTTTTTTAATTATATTTTTGTACCTCAAATTACACAAAACATTATTAAACATAAAAAAAATAATGAAAATTCTCTTTTAATAACAAAAGAATTTTTCTTTTATATTAATACTTTTAAAATACTTAAGAAAAAAATACAAAAGTTACAAAAATATTTTATAAAAAAAAAAAAGTATACATAAAAATTATTAAAAAACAATAATTTTAAAAAAGTAATAAAAAAAAATTCTTATAAATGATTAATAAAAACATTATTTATAAAATAATGAAATGCGTAAAAAAAATCATTAAATATGTATACACATTAAAAATAAAATTAAAATAAATATATATATGTGAAATTTATAGTGAGAAAGAAAAAACACATAAATATTAAAAATACAAAAAAACTATTTATAAAAATAGGAAGTATAAAAGTTCTCTTAAAAAAAAAAAAAAATAAAATAAAATTGTTATGAAACAATATGAATATATATAATATTAAAAAAAATATAAAATTCTTTTTAATATATTAATAAAAAATAAATAAATAATATAGGTGTTCAATAAAAATAAAACAGCTTAAATGAAAATAATTGAAAAAAAAGTAAATTTTATTTTGTATATGTTACTACTTAATTAGAAATTTTCAAATAAAAAAAAAAAAAAAAAAAAAAAAAAAATACACTGATAAATAGAATATCAATGCATTTTAAAAAAAATTAACATATCTTTATTAAAAATTTTGTATAAATATATTTTACCTACTTTTAACATTTATTGATAAATTTTTTATACTATATAATTAATTTTTTTTTTTTTTTTTTTTTTTTTACTATATTTATATAGTATTCTTTCACATTTTATTTTTTTTTTTTACATTTATTATAAAGATATATTTTTTAAAAAATGGAAAATTATGAAGAAATAGAAAAGGCCTACAAAGAAATAGAAGATGAAATAATTAGAACTGTTGATTCTTTATGTGGGTGCAATTATATGAAGATAAAAGATGAAATAATCATGCCACATATGAGTGAAAATTTAATTAACAAAATAATATTATTAAATAAACACATTAATGATAATAGTGACTTAGAAGCATTCGAAAAAAGAGTAACCAATGAAAAAGTTATGCAAATAAATGACAAATTAATATATTTATTATGTGATTATTATATTAATAAAAAAGAAATTGATAATTTAATAAATTTTACTACTAGTAATGAAAATTATTTTAATGTTTTACCTCAAGCAAAAACGGCAAAGTTAATAAAGAATATTGTAGAAAAAATATCAAAAAAAATTCGTAATATAAGCACATTATATATAATTTTCAAGAAATACGTGAATTGGGCTTATGAAAAAAAGAGAAATTTTTTGAGATGTCGTATAGAAGTAAAAATGATTATATTATATATATTAAAACAAAAATATAAAACAGCATTAAACTTAATTGAAAGATTATTGAAAGAGGTAAAAAAAGTAGATGATAAAACCTTATTATTAGAATTATATATTGTAGAAACAAAAATATATATGTTACTGAAAAATTCTACAAAAATGAAAGCATCTTTAACTTTTGCAAAAAATATCGCAAATACAATTAACACAGCAATTTATATAAATAGTGAAATAGACTTATTATCAGGTATATTATTTATATACGAAAAGGATTACAAAAGTGCGTTTATATATTTATATGAATGTTATGAAACCTTATATACATATATATATAATAGTCATAATAATACACTTGATTTTTTGAGTAAAAAGAATAATGATTTTTATTCAGTTATTATTCATAATATTATTAATACAAGTACTATATCATCTCAAAATAAAACAAAAAGTATAAGCCAAATTAGTCCCTTTTTATTATCTTTTTATACATTTTATGAATATTATGATAGTAGTAATAGTGTTTTAAATTTAGATGAAATGAATATATGTTCCAATAATGTCAATTTAATATATAGTGATATGATATGTAAAATTAGTTCAAGCTATCAAGAGTTAGATGAAGAAAAAATTTATTGTATTACTAATCCAATTGAATTAAATTATGAATTAATACAAAGTTTAACAATAGATAGTTATGGTAATTTATTGGAATCTAAATCAGGTAATAATCAAAATCCTGTTTTTATTTTTCCTGATAATAATAATATTAGTGGTAATTTTGGTTTAAATTTAAATATAGAAAATTTGAAAATTGTTGTTCCTTTAAAATATATGTTATTATGTAAGATTCTGGAAGAAAATAACAGAAAAGAAATAAATAATATTCTATGTGAAAATAACAAATTAAATTACATACCTAACAAAGAAATTCAAATATTGTTAGATATATCAAAATGTTATGAGAATAGATCGTTAGATATTTTTGAAAAAATAATTAAAACAAATATATTCCTTATAAATGTTGACAAAGTTATATATAATTATTTAAAAGAGTTATATGAGTTATTACTTGAAAAAAATATTCTAAAAATTATAGAAGCCTATAGCTGCATTGATTTAAATTATATAGGACAAAAATTAAATTTAGATGTTACTAAAATTATTTCTAAGTTGTCAGAAATGATATTAGATAAAAAATTAAATGCAACATTAGATCAAAATATTGGTATTTTGATTTTGTATGATGATATGCCTGAAACTAAGATGTATCAAAATGTTTTAGAAATAATAAATAATTTAACAGAATCAGTAGATATTTTATATCAAAAAGCACAATTAACTATATAGGAAAATTTTTTTTTTTTTTTTGAAAAAGGAAATATCATTTTTTTTTTTTTTTTTTTTTTTTTTTTTTAAATAAATCTTCAGTTCGTAGTTTCAAAAAAACTTTATAGAAATTGTAAAAGTTTTATTTTTGTACTTTTTATTTGAAAAACTTTATATTTTTGAGAATTTCTAAAATTTATAATTTTTTGCTATGGATTCTTATTGAGTACAATTTTTCTAAAATGAGCTATAGCAATTTTTCGTAATATATAATTTCTTTTTTTTTATTTTTTATAAAAAAAATTTTTTTCTCCAAATATTTATTCTTGTTACATATGAGACATATCAAATTTTAATGTTTTGTTTATCTACATCTATAAATCTATATATATATATATATATGTATATAACATAAACTTAAGTATCTTAGAATACTTTGATAATTTTTTTTTTATTTTTTTTTTTAAATATTTGTTTCAATGAAGGATGTTTAGCCTTTAATACTAAAAAACAAGTTGTAAAATACAAAATAAAGAAAAAAAAAATAAAGTTTGAGAAAAAAAAAAAAAAATTGAAATATATAAATTAAATATATAACAAGGATATAAATACAATACGATATGTAGCAAATATTTCATTATTCCAAAAACCAAAACATTGGACCTTCTCCTTTTGAACCATCTGTTCTTTTAGGCATCCATGGGAATGATGTAGATTTATTTTTTATTATATAATTACTTCCATATATGCACATAGAACAATAGATTATAACAAATGACCACAAAAACCAAACAATAGAAACTTCTAATTTATTTGCATCTTTCATTTCTTGAATATCTGGAACAATTCTTTGTGGTTGTTTTTGTTTTAATCTATTATATAAAATTAATCTAAATACATCCGTTCTTTCTGGTCCATGAAAACCAGTACCTCTTATTTTATTTTTTTTTAAGTTATTTGAATGCAAATCATCAATTGTTATTATTTTACCATGACTTACATCATTTAAATAACTTAATACATCATTATGTTTATATAAATCAGCTGTTACTGATTTTGTTTGTTCTACAGGTCTTATAATATTTAATAAATTCGTTGGTGCTATATATTTCCATTGGTTAAAATCATGCCATTTTCCCAAATATATGTGATTCCCTCCTAATTTCCTTTTTGTTAAATTCAAAAAACCTGATGACATTTTTACTTAAATTTAACTTCTTAAATATAATTTTATTTTTTAAAATTTATTTCAAACATGTACCCTATACCTTTTTTTTTTTTTTTTTTTGAAATATTTTATTCAATATATTACTCTTCAAATAATTAATATCTTTATTTTATTTGTAAAATATATAAAAATTCAAGTGATTCATTATATGATTATAATAAAAATTAAAATATAATTACTTAAATATAAATTTCAGTAAAAACATAAATTTTCTAACTTGCTTCTTGTTAATAATAAAATTAATATAATATAAAAATATAGATAATTTTCTTTACATAAAAAAATAAAAAATTAAATTTGTTTTTCAAAGATTAAACTAAATTATTTATATTCTAATAATCTTAAAAAAAATTGAATTTTTTTGTTTTTAAAAAAGAAAAAAAGAAAAAGAGTAATTATTAAAAATATTAAAAAAATTTTTTTAAACTATATGAATTAAAAATATTCCTATTATATTTGTTTTTCATATTTTGTCAAAAAAAATGCATTAAAGCTCAATGTGATTTATTATTTAAATTATATATATTTTTTTTATTAACATATATATCTTGAAAAATTATACAACTTATATATATAATTTAAAATTTTTTTTATTTTCACACTATATATAAAAAATTTTAAGTTACTACATTCAAAAAAAAAAAAAAAAAAAAAAAAAAGAATATTATTATATATGTAATGTGTTGATTGTCAATATAATATATTATTATGTGCTACAAAAAGGGTTTTTATAAATTATTCATTTCTATAGATGAATTTTTTTTTTTTTTTTTTTTTACTTTTATATATTTATTTTATAAACACATAGAGATAATATTGATAGGAATAATGAGATGATGCTAATTAGTAGATTATTTTTTTTTTTTAATAAATAAGAAGAAAAAAATGAAATTATTGACCAAAAATATAAAGTTACTTTAAATGTACATAACTTTTTTTTTTTTTAAATGGTAACAATATGGATAAAATTTTTAATTTAAAAATTTAATGTAATAAAATTGCTATAAAATAATTGTAAGAAATTAATGAATTTTAAAAAAATAAAATTGGAAAAAAGTAATAGAATATATAAAATTTTAACTATTTAAAAATAAACAAATTAACAAATACTTTTATTAAAATCATATAGATTTAGTATTTAAAAAAAAAAAAAATAAAAAAAATAAAAACTAAACATATCATTAAAAATAAATCTTTATTATTTTTTTATTTAAATATTTCAGTAGACACATAAGAATAAGATTATTTAAAATTTATATTTTTTATAATGAATATCCATGGATCTCTAGGCTTATTTTTATAAATAAAATTATATATAATAAGAATTAAACTTTTATATTATATAATGGATGTCTAAATAATTTTTTTTTATATTTTAATTAAAATCATATATTAAATTTGTGACATCTAAATTTAATATATTAACAAATGCATGATCTTCAAAAAAATATTTTAAGTTAGGAAAAGTTCTTCCTCTATCCCCATTAACAAATTCCTTTATATACATACCTGATTGGGCTAATAAATGTAATAAAGAAAAATGTTCATGAATATAAATTAAATTAAATTGATAAATTTTTTTCTCTCTCTTAATTAACCCTCTTCTATGAAGCACCCTTATTGGTGTTTTTTGACTAACTTTAATTATATATGAATTGTTTTTTTCATAATTCAAAACATCCTCATTAATTTTTTGTATTTTTTCTTTAGTCATTCGACAAGAATGATATATTAAACATTTATATGCTTTTTTTCTTTCTTCACCATATTTCATAATTTTTTTTATTAATGAATAATTAGTACAAAAAGCAACATTATTTAGTTTAACTTCGACAAAATCGTTCAAATTGTATAAAGAATTTTTTTTACTCATATCATATTTATCAATAATATTTATAGTTGTTTCATTATAATTGAAATAATCAGATTCACCATATTTATTGTCACTTTTTATATCACTATTAATTTCTTCACTATTCTTATTAGAAATTTCTTCATTTGATTCCACGTTTTTTGATAGCAGCACTTCTATCTCTTTATTATAACTATAAGATATATGAAAATTACCTATTTTTTTTTCTTCAAAAATTTTATTTTTTGATTGTTCTTCTATTGTTTTATTTGATACTATATCATATAATGAAATAGTATTTTCTTTTTTTATTAATGCATAAATGTCATTAATTTCTTCAAGGATTTTTGCTTTTTCTTTTTTTTTTTCTAAATCACATTTCTCTTTATCATTTATATTATTATTTAATGAATTAATATTGAAAAGAGTGTTATTTTTAAGGAAATCGTTTAATTCTTCTACTGTTTTAATTTCACAGTTATTATCATTGTAATACCTTAGTTTTTTTAACTTAATGAAAAATAAATAAAAATTTAAAAAAGAAAATTTGGTTTCTTTCAATACAAAAACAAATGGTCTACCTACATTCATCATCCGAACGTCTTTGTCTTCTCTTCCAGATCCAATAAATTTACATGTAGAAGAAGAAAAAACATTCTTAAAAATTTGATATATGCATTCTTCGATTGATAGAACACTTTTAGATAAATTGTTTACTAACCATTTCGTTTGTGATATTTCTTTGTTATATTTATTATAATAACCACATATACATAAATTATTAAAAGATATATAAATATCAACAACATTTAAGAAAATATAATTTTTTGTAATTAATTCACTATTTTCTTTCTCTTCTAATGGGTTTATATTATTTATTTTTGTTTCATCACTTTTTATTCCTTCTATTTTTTTTAAATTACAAGAATTTTCATATTCATTATCACTGTCAATTATTTCACTTTCATCTTCATTATTTAATTTATTTTTTTTTCTATAAAATTCTTTCTTTTTTCTTTTATTTTGATTTTTTATTTTTTTTATTTCATTAATTTTTAATGAATCTCTCTTATTTAGATGGGCTTTAAAAATTAATACAGAGTGTTTATATAAGCTTATTAGAAAATTGCTTTTTTTATCACATATATTCAAAGAATTATATATTTTAATGTAAAAATTTAAATAGATATAAATTAAAACAAAAGAAAAAACCTTATGAATGTTTTTTTTGATGAGATTATTTTCCAAATTTACATAAATAATAATTTTTTCTTTTATTTTTTCAAAATATTCCATTAACATTTCTATAGTAAAGTTTTGGTTTCCTTTTATGATTTTTGCTTCATGTAGATATAAAAAAAAAAATATTATATCAATATTATTTACAAGAATATCAAATATCTTTTTTATATTTTCAAAAATTTCACTTATTTTTTTTTTATATTCTAAATTGAATAAGAAATTTGTTTTAATAATATTTTTATGAAATTCACTATTTTTATTATAAAATAATATTAAATCAATGTTGTGTAAGCCATTACACATTTTGCATAAATATAAGTTCATATAAACATTTTTATAAACTTCTTCTATATCATTATTTTCACTTTTTTCTTTATTCTTTAAGTACTCTAAAAAAAATTCCTTATTATTGTCTAAAAAATTTGTACTATTTTTTCCGCTTAACTCTTTTTCATCGTTACTATAATCATTCAAAAAATAAGAATCAAAAAATAAATAATTTTCTTCTTTTAATTCTTTTTTAGTTATAGAACAACGATAACATATGTCGTTCATTATTTTATTTTAAAATGAAGAAAGATATAGAAAAATAAATATATAAACTCTATTAAATATATAAAAATTTGTCAATTTCTTGAAGGAAAGAGAAGCGTATGAATTTGTATAAATATTCTTCAATTATTATATTTTAATTCTTTTATTAATTCTTTATACATTTGTAATTTAAATGTATCTCACAAAAAATATTAAATATATATAAAATTAACTCTTTACTTTTAATTTTTTTTAGAGATTTTCAGTAAAAAATGATTTTTTTTTTTTTTTTTTTTTTTTTTTTTTTTTTTAAATCAACAAGTTAATAAGAAGCTGTAAATTCCTATTAACAACATGTTAATGAAAAAAACGCACTGTAATTCCGTTTTATATTTTTTATAAATACCTTTCATTAACGTTTTTAATTTTCCATATCTTTCTTTTTTCTTTTTTGTTTTTCTCTTTAGAATTTTTTTTTTTTTTTTTATAATTACAAAATAACACTCTTTTTTTTTTTTTTTTTTTTTGAAGTTTACTTTTAATATGTGTAATTTAATATAACTTTTAATTTTTTATTTTTGCTGTTTATATAATTTTCATATTTTATTTTCCTTTAAATTACAATAAAATAAGTCTTTTAGGAACTAAAAATATATTTTCATTGAATCCATTTTTTTTTTTTTTTTTTTTATTTGAAGATAATACTTTCTATATTTATTAAAAAAAATATAACTAGAAAAAATTCAATGAATGTTAAAAGCATATGTTTTACCACACTTAATTTATAAAAAAAAAAAGGATATAATAATAAGAAAAAGTTAAGAATTGATATTCTAATATATTAAAAAAATATATTTAAGGAGATTATCATCTATATATTTTTTATAATGTTAAATGATAATATAAATGATGATCACTCAAATTTGTTTTCTTACAAAGAACCTGAAATAAATGAAGACATAAATTTATTTCAATCCAATCAAGTACCATGGTTTTATCATCTTATACATAGTAAATAAAAGAAATAAAAATATATAATAGAAAAATAAAAACAACTTGAAAATATAAATAAATAATTATACATATGAAAAATATAAATGAAAAAAGATCATTAAAACACTTGTTATTAGATAATAACAGAAAAAAAAAAAAAAAAAAAAAAAAAT